TATTTATTTATGGCATCTCAAGAATTCAATTCACATGAATTGAATACTTGGCTCATTGACAGTGGTTGCACTAGTCACATGACTAAATATTTATCATTTTTTACCTCCATTGACAAATCAATTAAGCCAAAAGTCAAGATGGGAAATGGTGAAATTGTACAAGCCAATGGAAAAGGTACAATTTCTATTGCAACCAAGAAAGGTATGATAATTGTTAAAGATGTTCTCTACATTCCAAAATTGGATCAAAATGTTCTTAGTGTTGCACAAATGCTAAGGAATGGTTATGGAGTCTCTTTTAAAGAGAATTATTGTTTTATTATGGATGAACATGGTTTAGAAATTGCAAAAATTGAGATGACCAAAAACAGTTTTTATTTGAAATTTGATTTGGTTGAAGATCATGATTTTATTGCTAAAATTGATGAGAGTAATGTTTGGCATGGAAGATTTGGTCACACTTTTATGCATGATGTATTTGATATGACAAATTCCAACAAATGGTATTCAAAGACAAGAGGAGGAGTTAGATTGAATGACTATGAAGACAATGATATGGGTCAAGAAATTGATGTGCAACAACTTGATGACATGGCATTTCAAAACTCAATTTTTGGAGTTCATGAAACTAAAATTTGTGATATTCATGGCAAATCTCAAGGAGGAGTGTTAGATTTATGAGATTTTCCTTTATTTAAATTTTGAATTTTGAATAAATTTTAGATAAGATATTTGTTATTGTTACAGTTTTATTTATTATATTTTATTTTCAGTTATTCAATATAATCTCATCAAGTAGAGTTGTTAGTAGATGAGATTTGTTAAGAATTTTAAATTGATTGTAAGCCTATACATAGGCATCTTCTTTTTTGAATTTCAATGTTAATTTGATGATAGTTTTTCATCTTCAATTTTAATTTTAATTTGTCTGCAAGATCCAATTTTTCTACATTTTTCTCAAAAGGTTTATGAACGGTAAAATTATGTTACTTTTCATAAAACATCATTTTGAGATATTATCTGCTTTGAGTCTTGATTCTCACAAAATCTCTCAATCATTAAAATATATATGTATTTTATAAATTATTTTTTATTTTATTTTATTGATATGAAACCTTATTTATATTCCAACACGCTTTTGGTGCTGACCTCAACATATTCTAATTGTTAATTCTAATAATTTCAGGTTGTCATTTGGGGAGCTTCATTTACCTATTAATGATGCCTGCTTTGTGCTCTCAATGGATTATGGGGTCCAAGTACCGAACAAAGTTGAGAAAGAGATACAATTTGGTGGAAGCTCCATACACGGATATAGTGTCTCACGTCTTTTGTCCATGTTGTTCCCTCTGTCAGGAGTTCAGAGAGCTAAAATTTAGAGGACTTGACCCTGCTCTTGGTAATTGAGTTACTTCAACTAATGCTCATTTTTACACTTCATTTTCTTATGCTATAGCAACATATTCGGGTGCACAATGTTAATTTGATGATAGTTTTTCATCTTCAATTTTAATTTTAATTTGTCTGCAAGATCCAATTTTTCTACATTTTTCTCAAAAGGTTTATGAACGGTAAAATTATGTTACTTTTCATAAAACATCATTTTGAGATATACGGGGCTCCTCTGTCACATTAAAGAGTTAATGGTCAAACCATGGACTCTTAGTCTAATCCATTCTTTGAGAGAAGGAAATATGTGTGCGGACATGCTTGCTAAAATGGGGTCTAATTCTAGAATTGCACTTTTGGAGCTCGAAGATCCTCCGCCTGGGTTAGAAGCTCAGCTCTTTGCTGATGCCATGGGTCTCCCCGTGTTACGGGATTAGTGTGGCTTTCCCTTTATTCTTATCTTTTTCTTTTTCTCTTCTTCTATTGACATTCAGTATAAAAAAAAAAAATCTCTAACTACTTGAATAGTATTTTTTATTATTATAAAACAGACACTTCCTTATAAAAATCTTATTACTTTAAGTATATGTCAAAGAGTTTAATTTTATTTTTGTTCGTCCCTGGAGTATCCATCGCCGATAATAGTGACTAATCTCCTCGCTACTTTGGAATAGGGATGGCAAAGGGGTGGGTCGGGTACGGATTTCATGATACTCGTCCCCGTCTCTGCGACTCAAACTTATCTTTGTACCCGTACCCATACCCGTCAAGTATGTAATTTCTGTCCCCGTCCCCGTTGGGTATCAGGTATACCCGTAACCGTAAAAAATTATTATTTTTTTTTTACAAAAAAAATATATAATATTTTTAAATTATTTTTTCATTATATTATAATTATAATTAAATTATTTCTCTATCTCATATTTTAATCAAAAAATTTCTTAATAATTAAACAACTATAAATATTTCACATTATAATAAATAATTACACATAATAAAATATTAAATTTTTTTAACATAATTCAATTGGGACGGGTACGGGGACGGGGCGGGTATGTATATACCTGTACCCGTACCAATACCCGGTTTGACATATCGGATTTTACCCGTATCTGTACCCGTACCCGGTCAAATCGGGTATTCGGGTATTACCCGCTGGTACGGGTTTATTTGTCATCCCTATGTTGGAGGCAACTCAAAGAGTGGGATAGCTGGCTCCAAGATTTAACGCGACTGCATACACAAGGTAGGATGCGAACTCTTGACCTTACTTAAGTGTGGATCAACTCCTATCGCCGAACCATATGCTTGGAAAAATATATTATAAAAGTACTTTTTTTTTTCTTTTGCAAAAGTTAAAGAATGTGAAAAAATTATTGACAAGTTCGTAAATATTTTATCTAGTATCAATAAAATTGGTCAAAATTAAGATAATTAAATTCTTAAGCATGTGTTGATGGATGTTTAATTCATAACCATAGACAAAAAACAATAAAACACCTGTATAAAATGAACACATTATAAAATAGTGACTACCTTATACAAATAAAATTGAGTGTGAAAGATTTTATAATTATAAGGTATATATCTTTTATTAGAGATAATTATTTTCAAATCAAATACCATCATTATAAATTTTCTCTTCTAAATATTTAATAAAATTACATATTTAGGACTCAAATTTAAAAATATTAATTAAGTTTCAACAATCTCTGTATATATAAAATACTTAAATTTATAACATAATAATACAAAATTACTTTTTTTTGTTGCAAAAGCTCAAAAAAGTGAAACGAATTCTTTACAAATTAGAAAATGTTTTTATCAAGTATCAATAAAGATCGTCAAAATCAATAGACAGTTATTCTTAAGCATGTGAGCTTAATTTGTTACCATGCGTAAAAAAACAAAAATACATCGATGTTTATTATTAATGCATACATATATGAAAACCAAGACTTCAAAAATACATTACATATTTTTTAATACAATTTTTGAAGTTGATCAGGGTAACATGAGAAAGACGTGTTAATGCAAATAATATTTTTCTTTGAACATTTTGTGAGTACTTATAATATTTATAGGTTACTGTCGTTGCATTATCCTATTTTAGTTTCATCTTTGTAAAAGTTATTAAAATGAATTTGTCATAATTTATTTTTTAAATCTTGGTTCTTTAAAATAAATACGCAGGGATTTTTGATGTTTAAGTGACCCATTTATACTAAGCTGGAATAGCTCAGTTGGTTAGAGCGTGTGGCTGTTAACCACAAGGTCGAAGGTTCAAGCCCTTCTTCTAGCGTCTTTTCCCGATTTTTTGTCCATCACTTGATTCTCTTCCTACACGAGCCGTTCCAAATGTCCAACCAAATTCCTTATTCAGGCCCACAAGGCCCAAATCAACCACAATCATTTGTTTGCCCAATTGCCCGTAGTTTATCCGTTTATTAATTCATTTCTTTCTTTCTCAATACGAATATAAATATAATCTATTGTTAATTTGTTATTGAAGGTTGCACCTATGCAAACCGAATAAGATAAGATCATCACAAGAACAACCACAAACGACAGAGCCATTCTAAAAGGCTCAAATTGAATGCAAAATATCCTCATCTCAAAACAACACAACACATAACAAAAAAAGCTTAGAAATATCAGTGATGTCACTCCTCCAACTCCAACTCACTTCCCATGCATTGTGTTCTATCTCTCCATCATTCCATAATTTCAGACCCAACAAACCCTCTAAGCGTCTCAGCTTTGTGAGAACTAAAATTAGAGCAGTTGGCACAGTCCCCGAGAGGGACTCAGGCTCTGAGACCACTGACCCTGATGAGCCACCATATGTTGGGTTTGTATTTGTTAGTGTAAGTTCAACAATTATGAACATGTAATGTAATCCTAGCTAGCTGCATTAGTTAACTTACCTTTTCGTAGTTGAAATTAATCTCTAATAATGCTTTTGGTGGGTTTGGTCAGTCTGTGTTGCTACCAGATGGAACACCAGATACGCACTTTCGTTCTGCCCCTGGTGGCCAGAAGCTTAGGGACATAATGCTGGATTCCAATATTGAGCTCTATGGACCCTATGTAATAACCCCACCTTCTTAACATTTTTGCTTTCAACCTTTTTATTTGCTCTGTAACAACTATTTCATTGTGTGAACCAGTTTATATGTTTTTGCCAATATGTTACTTTTTCCAGGCCAGGCCTTTGTTAAATTGTGCAGGGGGTGGAACTTGTGGCACATGTATGGTGGAGGTGAGTTATGTATAATAATAACCTTTTAAGTTTTAAGGCGTGTTTGATGGGGGGAATTCTTGTTAAAAAAAAAAAAAAGAAGCTATATTTCCTAATAGAGTATTCTTATGGGAAAAGTGAGAATCTGTAAAATTATAGTCACACTCATGAGTCATGATAATATTGTACAAATCTTTTAAACATACCAAATACATCCTTAACATTGTCATGAATATTTATGATTTTTGAAAAGCCTGATTCTTAAGGCACCTTTGTTAAACAATCTATAACAACGAAACTCATCTTTTACTGGGTAACGTTTCAGAGAAAACGGATCATTTTCCCCCATTGAAATTAAGGCACTTGTTTTAGTATATATTATATAGTATCATAGTTAGAGATCAAATCAAATAATGTACACTACTAATTCTATTTTGCACTTGTTAGGTTCTTGAAGGCAATGAGATTCTAAGCCCTCGCACAGATAAAGAGAAAAAAATACTAAAGAAGGTAATAAACCGAATGTAAACTTGATAGTCAAAATGAAAATTTTGTCCAGCATTCTTTTACTATGAACTATGCTTGTCCCCGGGAAGAGAATTACGGCTTTGTTATCTTTTTGTTTTCTTCCTATATACAGAAACCAAAGAATTGGAGATTAGCATGTCAAACAACTGTTGGTAAAGCAGATTCTAGAGGGGCGGTTCGTGATTCTTCACTCTTGAACCTTAATAAAAAAAAAGTTGTACTGTTAATATGTATGAAAATGAAGCAGAAGTATATATTGATTTTGATTTGATGCAGGTTTTGATTCAACAATTACCAGAGTGGAAAGGGCATGAATGGAAATATGCAAAGCCTGGAGAGTCGGACTGGGAGTCAGAATCTCCATAAAAGGAATAATATAAAACGAATTCTTCGTATGCCATTTTTGTTTTGCTTTTCATTGCAATTAGGACTTAGGATATAATATTCTGTTGTTTAGACCCAAGAGGAACTTCAACCAAGAAAATATAGTAAATCTCGTTCGCATTTTTACATTCCTTAATTTTTAGTGGGATCCACTAAATTGTTTAGTAAAAAAGTTAATACTGTGTTTGTAGAAAAAAAAATCAAAATAAATATCATTAGAAGAAATTTAAGAAGAAAAACTGGAGTATACTTAATAGTGAGAATGTGCACATAAATTTATATTTAAATTTTATTATCCGTTATTGTAAGTCTTATACTCTTATGAATAAAAAAATTAAAAAAATAAATATCATTATTACAATAACAAAAAGTTGGACACAAATTAATTAACGTATTGATATTATGTTGCAAGTCATGTTTATAGGCACCATTGTCATGTATATAATACAATTATTGATATCCATTTGTTTCTTCTCAAAACTAATATTTATGTGATCAACTTTTTCGTTTCATCTATCTCCATTTTATATTTCATGATTTATGTTTTTTTTTTGTGTGTATTGTTCCGGGTAAAAGATCGTAATGATATGTTTGATTTATGAAAAATAAAAAAAAAGTGAAAAAAGAAAGAAAAGGAAGCAAAGATTTTTTTTTATCTACTTTCCTCAATATCTATATATATATATAAAAAAAAAAAAAAAACAAGTAAATACTTCTAAGTACTAAAACCCAGTTTTGTTTTTAGGTAAGCTTCAAAATGAAAGAATAGGATATCAGAATTCGAGAAGAACAGAGAAGATGAAAATTGTTGAGTCATTGTATGGTGACGAAGAAATCACACGGATGAATGTTCTTTAGTTTTTAGGGACTTTCAAAAAGTTTAGAGGAAGCTAGGGAAGCATTGGTTGTAGTCCTCTTTTATTATTTTTTAATTGTTATACTTTAACGTGTTCACAATTTGAATATTGAAGTAAAATTCTAATTAAAAATAGCATACAGAAATATAAAAAATAAACCATCAAATTTTATTTCCTATTTCTCTCAAACTAAACCATCAAATTTTTACTCATTTATTTTTCTACATTTTATTTATTACTTATTTGTTTTCTCTTTATCGAAGGCACTCGTAGTCTCTTATAATAAAACAAATACAAAGACTATTACACATTGCAATTACAGGCTGTAAGAGTGCAATGGTGGAAGTGTTGAACACTTAACAGTAGCCCAATGCAACTTTTTGCCATCCCGGCCCAGGGGACGCATGGCCCTTTCTACCTAAATGTTTCCACTGGATGTGACCCAATGCTTGTTTTTACTACCTTGTACTCTATTGCTTGGATTCCTTCCACTCTTAACTTTTTTAAATTAATAACTCCCACTTTTCCTGGCCCCATTCACACTACTAATATCTGTTACACTTCCTTTTGGCCATACCCATATCAAATGCACTCACCATGCAGTTCCATTGCTTAATCATTAATCATTTTCGATCAATGTGTTTTTACCCTACATAATAAAAGCCTACAGACAAACCTTTTCTATTGCACAATTGCACCTTTTTTTTTGGGTACACAAGTCAACGACAAATTATACCTACTGATAATTCCAACAGAATACAATGAAACGTAACGTGTTTTTCTTTTGTATCTGCTTTATGTTTGTTTGCCCACTTTCATTTTCCTAATTTACCGCATAAGTTACCTGTTTCTATGAAAAGCATGTTGATTCGTGCCTTCAATTAAAGAAAAGCCATAAATGAGATATATTTCTTTTTTAAGGGAAAAAAAAACTACATTAGCAACCTCATGAATTCTTACAACAAAACAATGACTCCCAACTTTACAATAAATGCAAAAACAAAGGGATAAAGCTGAGAAGAAAAGAAGGAAAAGCAAGAGTTACTTATCCTCCTTTATTACAGAGAAATTAATTAAAACATGCAATGATTAATGAATCAAAATTCAGTGGCAAGAGGTGCATGCTGGGTAGGGATGAAGGCATAGGTGTAGATAAGACCAGCCAAGCCACCACCAACAAGAGGTCCAACCCAGTAGATCCAGTTGTCATGGAAGTCACCACTAACCACTGCAGGGCCAAAGGAGCGTGCAGGGTTCATTGATCCGCCAGAGAATGGTCCTGCTGCTAAGATGTTCGCACCAACAATGAAACCTATGGCAATGGGTGCAATTGTTCCCAATGAACCCTTTTTGGGGTCAGCTGCTGTGGCATACACAGTGTATACTAATCCAAATGTGATGATAATCTCTGTAACAACTCCTTCACCAGCTCCAACTCCAGCAGCAACACTGTGGATAGGAGTAGTCTGATAACAAATAACAACCACTTATTAGTTTCTTTTTTAACATAAATAAAACTTGTTTTATTCTCAGAATTTGGAATTCTAAAAACATAAGTAGGTTAACATCTCATTTATTGGCACCTTTTCATACTAGTGACACACTATTATTCTTTTTCTAACACTTTTTTTATTAGAGTGAAATTTATTAAAAATCATGAACTTTTTGAGTTTATCATCTCATTTATTGAGTTTTTCTCCTGATTTAATGGTGGAACCACCTAAATTTGTACTTTTCAATTTACAATAAAGAGAGTATCGGTAACATTTTTCTAACTTATAATAAAAAAATGTGAAAAATATATTCATCAGAATTGTAATACTCAATGTCCACTAATTAATGTGATGAATAGCCAAAGGGAAGATATGGCTCTTCTTATGCATGCATGAATGACAAATATGCCATGTTTGTGACACATATAGTTGAAATCATGTGCAAAAATGGGTGAAGTTTGAACTTACAAAACCAGTGATAAACTTGAGGAGTAAGCATGCAACTATGGAGCCAAGAAGCTGTGCAATCACGTAGAAGATACCAGTGAGGATGGTGATTTGGCCCCCAAGAGCCAAGCCAAAGGTCACAGCAGGGTTGACGTGGCCACCAGAAATGTTGGCTCCGACAGAAACAGCGACGAAGAGAGCAAAACCGTGGCAAATAGCAACAGCTACCAACCCAGCAGGATCAAGAGCTGCATCTGATGTCAACTTAGCTGCAAAACAATCAGAAGAAAAGTCAAAGTCTTGTTCATATTAAGAAAACACAACGTTCTTAAACGTTTGATTTGCAAACTTCTGCATGTATAGGTACATATAATTCAATAAACTTTGTTACAAGAACCCTCACATATGCACTTTTCGTTTATTACTTTTCATTTATATTTACGAGTTATTTTTTGCAATGATAAACAAAAAAAATGTGCTACTTGGATGTGACTCTAGTGATAAAGATCGAAGTGGCATTGTAGTAAAAGAGGACGACTAACCATAGGCTATGGCTGAACCAACACCAGCAAAAACAAAGAGCAAGGTTGAGATGAACTCAGCAATATAGGCCTTGATGGAGCTCAAACTGAAAGAATCATCGAAACGTCCGAATGCTATGCCAGCCATCTCCAGAAGCTTCTATGAGAACCTCAAAGATGGAGAAGATAAGATAAGGAAGTGTTGGGAGTTAGAAATATAGCACAAAAGGCTTCTATAGAGACCAATATATATACTAGAAATTGTCAAGTTATCAAGGCTTATTATTAAATAAGTTCACGACGGGTTGCTTTATTATCAATATTATTAAGAAAGAAATTACTTTAAGATAAACTAGTATGACAAGTAAAAAAGTTTTTATCAAAAAGAGATGTATTTATTTTAAAATAGACTTGAGGTTGGGATATAAGGGTGGATAGTATAGGTATGGTATGTTTGAAAGATAAAAAGGGAATGTGGTTATGTGCATTATATGAATGCATATCCAATGAGGTCTTTTTGTGGCAATCTTAGCTGGCAGTGGCGTGATTCATTAGAAATGTCCGGAAGCTGATAAATGATTCCATCATGTGAGTATTGTAGAAAGTGGAGTAGAAGTGGTGTTTGGTGGGGTACAATTAATGTCATAAAACAAAAGGGATGGATGGACTACTGAGCATGAATCAAATTTGGGCCACAAGTTCCACCGTCCATTCTCTAAAGATCGCCAGGGACTGTGCTCTCTGGAATTCAAAATGCATCAACACAAAAATTCTTACATGTTACTATCATGATATGTAAGGCCCGATAGTATGATATTGTCCGCTTTGGGTTAGGTCCGCACGATTTTGTTTTTGGACTCCTTTCCAAAAGGCTTCATACTATATAGAACGGTGAACACTCTTATAAACTAGTCAATGTTCCTTCATTTTACAGATGTGGGACACGCTGCCTGAACATCACAATATCAGGAAGACTTTCGACACAAGGCACCAAGTTCGGATCTCTTCTCCATCGCGAGGCACAACATTGAGGGTCTTCCCGCATCAAACCCAGCCGAACCGTTAGCTCTGATATCACTTGTAGGGCCCGATAGTCCACCTGTTTCTCCACCATAGTATGATATTGTCCACTTTGGGCTAGGCCCACACGGTTTTATTTTTGGGCTCCTTCCCAAAAGACGTCATACTATATGGAATGGTGGACACCCTTATAAACTAGTCAATATTCCTTCATTTTACAGATGAGGTCTTTTGGGAAGGAGTCCAAAAACAAAACCGTGCGGGCCTAGCCCAAAGCAGACAATATCATACTATGGTGGAGTAACAGGTGGACTATCGGGCCCTACATGATATAATATATATAGTTTGTTACTTGAATATGTTGGAATTCAAGTGTAAAGCAAAGTCTTATATTGGTTAGAGTTGAACATGTTAAGTAATATATAAATGAGAAAAATTTATCTAACTAATATCTTAAGGTTTTAGATTATATTGTGATGTCAAGCTTATTTGTGTGACTTATTCACTACTTACTGTATAGAGTGCTCCCTAATGTAAAAATTCTCCAATAAATTAAATATTTAAGATATAATTTTCATATTCATATTTATTTTTTTTGTGACAGATATTCTCGATTTATTGAAATTCAACTAGAAACTAATTTTATTTATTATTGTAATTATTGCTCATAATTTGATAAATTATTACACATAACAAAAATCAAACTCAAGTTTCTCATTAAATAAATACTCATCACAATCTCTGATTGCATAATGTCTAATCCATGTTCCTCATTATGGAAGTGCATTGTTAGAAAAAGTTGATCTTTTAAAAGATTAGTCTCTAACTCTCTAGAAAATACCGTTAAAAAAATAAAATAAAATTTGTGCATGTTAATAAGTGACATAATGGTCGATGATTATAAAAAAAGAAAATAAAAAAAAAAGTAGTCGGCAAATTGGAGCTAAATAATGCATCTTGAAACTACTTTTTTAAAATGGTTTGGTTAATTATGATTATGTCATCATGAAACCAGATTCAAACTATTTGTCTCATTACATGTTTTTTCCTTACTTTTTTAACTAAAATATAAAAATTAGTAATTTATTTTCTCTTTTTAAGTCATTTTCATTAATTGAAATCCTCAAAAGTAAAGTTGGAATTAAGTATCTATTGCCACTGCTTATTGTCTTTAATTTATTAAAATAATTTTTATAGCCATATTAATTGTACGTGGTTAATAACAGAATCTACTCTGTACCAAAAAAAAAAAAACAGAATCTACTGTTATTTATACTTGTAAAATAATTAAGAAATATTAATAATTTTTGTTTACTTTTCTCATTCATTTTTTACCGATAAATATACTGCAAAAGTAAAATTATTAAGATATTTTTTTGTCAAAATTAAAGATGTTACTGTAACCAGATTTTAAAAATTTGTTGAAATGTTAGAAATAAAATGTTTAAACTTTTTATATTAAAATTTACTTATATTCATTTAATTATTCCTTTAAATATATCTCTGTGACAGTTATATATATTTCTTATTTTAATTTATATTTTAAACCATGTTCCAATTTAAAGATATATTTTGTTTTAATTATTTTATAATTTAAGTTATGATTTGTGTTTCTTATATTTCTAAAATAAGTAAATACTTTAAATTTGTTCATTATCATAAGTTTATTGCATGTCGTAATAAGTTGGAAATTCATTTGATATATTATGAACGTAACATATTTCGGGGAGGGGTGGGGGGAACTAACAACCAAGAGAATAATAACTTTATTATTATTAAATTTAATTCATTTATGAAAATAACTTTAAAAATATAGAAAGTAAGTTTATTGCACAATGTCTAGAATTAATTTTTTGGCCCCTCTAAACATCGAGTCTGAGGCCATTACCCTTTAGTCTATGTCTAAAGACTAATCAATTTTGATTTTTTGTAATTAGATTTATAAATAAGTTAGACAACTCGACATAAATTTATAAACTAACTTATATCAAATCAAGTCAAGCTAGATTAGCTCTTCTTCTTTTTTTTTTTTTAGAAAGAAACCAGGTTAAGACTTCTAAAAAATTGTTCCGATCCATTAAAAGAATATGGCCAGAGAAAAAATCTACTAATTAAAAAATTAATACTTGAGGCCACTCAAAAAGCCTTTAGATGACTAACCTATTCAAGTATATATTGATATTAATTTTTTTAGTATTTTGGATACGCCATTATTCTGCATGTGATTCTTTTGTCCTCTCCTGGCATAGGCCACACTTGAACATGAAATGTCTGCTTAATTAGCGATGGGAGCTCGATTGTTTCTTTGAAATGGAGCTTAAAATTGCTTAGTTCAAAGCAGCAAAAAAAACAATTCCTTTCCTCTTTGTACATATAATTTTTCCAGAATTTCATTCAGCTATCCAATCAAACAAGTTTTGTAATAAACTACTTAAAGTTACTCTCAATCACATTTTTCTTATATATGTGTAATACTTCAACTCGAAAACTTGTTTAAAGAAATTAAATTTAATACCACTCAAACTAACAACTTAATACTAATTTATTTATCAAAAAGTTAATGTGCTTTGGTGCGGATTATTCTAGAGAAGTACTTTATTTTTTGACTATTAAGACAGTCTAATTCTGGCACTAAGTAGCAAAGTCACTGCAATGGCACATGATGTTTTGTCTCATGGTTGATAGGTGGTAAGCTACTAATTAATAGGAATCCTTATCTGCCAACTGTTCATCAAGATAGAGCCATGCATGAAGCTACAAAATAAGCATCGACTACTTGTTTAATTTATAACATTATCTTCATTAATACTTGGTATCCTTTCATAATTTGAATAGCCCAAGTTCAATTAAAGAATTTAAAATTGAACCAAACATATTGACAAAGTTGGACTTCTCTCTCGTACTGCAATATTTCATTTTGCATGGACCAGGATTCCCTGCATTATAAAGGCAAATTGCAGGTCCTGCAATATATCATCTAAATAAGGGTTTTGAATTGTTTTATTTTAATATTTAATATACATAATTTAATTTTATGAGTAAGATTTTATGCAATGACATTGCCAGCGCAATTATGGGCATAGAAGTAGGAAACAAAATGAGCAATGACAGCAAAGGGTTCATGTAGTCCGTGGCGACCAGTTCTGTAGCATATTCCAATTAGTAACTAATTAAGCTATGATGATTAGGGACAGTGGTCCCTCTAGTTTGGACCAAAAGTTATTCTATTAGATGCTCCACTTTCAAATCTTTGGATCAATTTGTAAAGCACGGGGTGCATGTGTTTGTGCCATAACAAAAACTTATGTCTTTTTTTTACCCTTAAACTTATAATAGCTAGAAGTTATATTTAACTTCCACTAGTATAAATAATAATAGTAGGAGAATAGAAACCAATCCACGAAGCCATTCGATCTAAACTCAAGTACATTTCAGTGGATTGAATTGGATCAAGTTAGACATATTTCAATTGACTAAAATTATTATTGTATTTTTACTCAAAAAGTATTATTGAGTTAAGTAATGAGTTCGTGAGTTTTTGATCGGATCAATTTTTCATTCAGCTGAACCTAAAATTAATAATAATAATAAAGTATGTACAATGAAATTCAAATTTATATATGAAAATAAAAACATGAGAAGGTAATTTAAATAGTGCAGAAGTCAGGTCAAATATTATTTTATGGAGATTTTAGAATTCATTCAACATTTTGGTCATTCTTAAATTTTATAATATTTTACAAAAATATAAAAGTATTGAATGAAAAATATAATATATTTGATATTTTGAAAATATTTTATATTTCTTCATTAATAATTAAGAAAGAAATAGGAAAATTAATGCATGGGTTTTTTTAAGTTTTTATACAACAATGATACATGAAAAGTTTACCATCATAAACACCTATTTGATATATCTCATTTCTTATCTCTTTTTTTATTACATCATATTACATTATCACTTTTATCCTTTCTATTTCTTTCTTTCTCAAAGTGTAGATTAACATTAATGTCTACAAAAGATTATTCTTTTTAAATGGGGATAATTTGTGTCTTGCTTTGCTTGTATTGTGTGGTTCGGAGATCATGCCAGGTTGTTAATTGTTATCTCATCCTTTTTTTGTTTTTGGAGGAACGTGGGGGTCCATGTTATCATTTGATCTTTTGCCCAGGGTCATTCGTTTAATTGAGTGGGCCATTGCTAATTTGCTATATCTTTGCTTGGGCCTTTGGCCCTTTTGTTCTTCGTTTTGTTGCTTCCCTGGTTATAGGAATAAGAGAAAAAAAAGGGTTTTACTATTCAAGTAAATAGAACAAGAGAAGTCCATAAATATCATTGTTAATCGAGATATGAAAGTGTTCTTTTTATTCTTTTAATGATTAAAGGACACTCCTACAAATATATTCATGTTTGAAAGACTACGAGAATCAATTTTGTTACACTTATGACACATTTCTAAGTAAAATCAATAATTGAGATTAATTTAAACACACATTTGAATCGCATTTTGTTCTGTTTGGACCGAGAATATGGGAAGTTCAGTTTGGATGTTGCAGATGTCAACAACTACTCATTCCTTGTCCTTGCTGGCTACTTATTCAACACAGAAGAAAGTCAGACATCAATCATTCCTCCAGCATATTTTCAGGAAAAGGTATTGAAGCACAACAATGATAGTATCCATTTTCGTCAAAAGAAAATCTCTGCGAAAGATGAGCTTCACGAATAAGATACTGCCCCCAGTCCTCTGAACCATACTGCTTGAATATGCCCCTTGCATCAAAGGAATCAACCTTTCTTGTCCGCTTCTTCCTGAACACCAGCAGCAAATATCAACTATTTAAACTGAAAAATTATCTAAACTTTTACAAAGCAAGGGAGATTGTTGAGCTGCAAAACTAAGGAGTTCTAAAAAAAGAAAGATGGGTGTACTAGCACCTTTTCCTATGCCTTGAGTTCATCACGGTGGCATGTAACTGCAAAACAAGAGAAGAATCTAGATGATCATCGATAATTACCATACTACAAGCATAATCCACAGCATGGCCCGGAAATTAAGTACATTTCTTTCCTTTTTTTTCTCCTTCCATTTAAGTAGTATTTCTAAAATTTTATAATTTAATGCTGGATAAAGTTATCATTTTGCTAAAAGTAATGCATAAATAGCACTTGCAACAGGGGAATTTGTACAGAATATACAAATGCTATCATGATTGATTTATGTCAAAACATGAGCTGACACTGCATTAACATCGATTTAACATAAATATGAGACATTCTGCTAGAATTTATTTACTATCTTTAATAAAAAACTGACATAATAAATAGTAGATTAATACCATAAAAATAACCTTTAAACCAAGTAATTTAATTGAATGTAGGTTAAAACACACATTTATCTATTATTATTTATCTAAAAGCAAAAGATAGGCATAACGAATCTGATAAATTTAATTTACCTTTAGACTCTGTTTAGCATCATTCTCCAAGACAAGTCCAGCTTCAACATATGCATCAATAATGACCTCTAAAAAAGCTTAGAAAACTCAATTCTTTCTTTGAAAGCAATATATATTCAAAACTAGGTACCCATACTGATCCATTATTATCTGAAATTTATAGAACTAAAAAACAAATCCTTAATTAACCCCACTCCCCCGAGACCAAAAAAAGAAAAACACGTATATGGATACGACAGGCCCGCATAAGACGGCCCTCACTGCCAATTTCTTCCACAGGAGCATACAGAACACGGGCTTTTGCCAAAGAACCTTTCATGCATTCCTACAAGATTAAACATATGTTTCCCTCATTAAAGATATCAAACAAATCATGGGTCTTTTTTTTTTTTTATTTTTTTTTTTACGTGAATCACAGAGGTCAAATTTGAAAGTAATAGAAAAAAAGAAAGTTTCTATCAGACATACACGGTGCTTTAGGAAATCTTTTAAAGAACACTAAGTTTACATAAGTGTTAGGATTAACATCTCATGATGCCATGCGAAAAATAATGAACATCTTACCTATGGGCTTTCAACAGGAAAATTTAAATTTCGTTAACACAAACAAAAAATCTGTGATTCTGCAGGTATAAACTCTTTCACTTTTATATTGTTGTTCACTATCCATTGATTTTGCGGATGTACTAGACTTCAAATGCCATTTTATATCTTTTCGAAACATAAGTAGCAATTAGGAATTAATAGACTAAATTATACTTTTGGTCTTTTATCTTATTTTTTATATTCATTTTAGTCTTTTATCTATTAAAATGTTCATTTTGATTTTTGATTTTTTATATTTGAATCAATTTAGTCCTTTTAAAACAATAATTTTTAATTTCGCTACACAATTTTAAATCAATTTTTTACTTATTCGAAACATGGAACTTGTAACAATAGATTCAACTATATAAAAACTATAAAAATCAATTGACATTTGAATCCATAAGAGCTATGACACAAAGAAAATCGTGTGAAAAATATGTCTAATAAGCAATTAAAAAATAATATGAAATTATAGTTTTTGAATTTCCAATTTCCTTGTGGACTTATTTTTATGCAATTTTCACCATATTTGTGATACTTTTTTAAATGAACTTTAGTTGCGTTCCACAATTTTGATATAAATGAATCTAATAAGACGAATTTCAAGTCTTGAATCAGTTAAAAAATAATTCAAAATCATGTCTCAAAATTGAAAACAATCATTATTTTAAAAGAACCAAATTAGTCTAAATTTAAGAGAGAAAGAACCATAACGAATATTTATATTTTAAAAGATAGAAAAATGAATCTAACAAATAAGATAAAAGACTAAAATTATAATTTAGACAAATTAATATGAATAATGTATCAGTGAAATGGAGCTCAAAATACATACATACCAGTCCCTTCAATCTTATGGAGACAGGCTGATTATCCAAGGCTTCCAAAACTTTTGAGGAGATACTCTACACAGCTACAAACATAAATACAAGGGAAGAATCTAATTCTCATAATTGATTATTATGTTGGTTATAATAAAATTTACCTGTAAGACCTCAGTGGCTGTTTTAACTCGGTCTTTGTTCCACAGCTTAAGCATGAGTACCGTAAGGTGAAATGTTTTAGGCTTGATGAATATAGATTTGTCAATACCCAGGTCTGCAAAAATGCAACATGAATCAGCAAATTTCATATGAATAAGGACTATGGAAGAAGCAAAAAGATTAACAGAACACGTTATTTGAAGTAAAGCATAAACATTTGATCCTTGTTAAGTTTCTATATGACAGTAATTCATAAGCTGTGAAAAATTGAAAATGACTGATTACTAGGTAATATGAACACGTCTTCAGGTTTGGAAACATAATCATAACATCCATAAATGATTTAACAAGAATTCAGAGTTCAGGCTCCATCAGTGGAAAATGATGAAGAACAGTAGATACAACAAAACACATCTCAAGACATACTTGAGAATATTTATGCAGCTGAGATGACAACACATGTACATAATTTCACTCTTGATTCAAATTCCGTAAGAAGTATGTGAAACATATCAAATCAGATTGTTTTGATACCAGATGGAGAAGACGACTTGGATGCTTTAGGCGTGTAACTGACAATAGGTATGTTAGAAAGATTAACTTTAACCATTTCACTGTTATCATCAACTTTTAGTTCAACTGCAACATCAGCCTTTTCCTTTGACAATTGATCCTCTTCTTTGTTGTCAGTAGTATCTTCATCCTCATTGGAATCAGTATCAGTATTCTCATCCATGGAAGAACCATTTCCCAAAACCGAGTTTTGAAAATTGATGAGTTTATTAACTAACTCTGGATGAATGGCCAATGGAAGGGATATGAAGTGAGAATAATCAAGATTTCGACTCTTAACTGTCTGTTACCAAACACAAGAAAATATGTGAATGTTAACCTGTGAATATGAACTACAACAAGGAACAAATTGGTAAAAGGAGATGAATATAACCAAAGATCGTTAGAGTATGAGAGACTGCATGGACAGGCAACAAACCTCATCAATTATAGCCTGTATCTTCTCTGAAGCTGAATTCACGCTTTTGATTGACATGCCTTCAATTGCTGCAAAAGATATTTATACCAAGTAATTCAGATATCAAATTTTGTTATCCACTCTTATGAGAGTAATAATGATTTAGAGATCCCATTCCAAAAAAGCTAGGCTATTAAGGAGGGGAGAACCTCTGCTTTAAAATGAAGTTTCTATATCTCACACTCGGCCAATACAAGACTCATGTTCCTTTCTAACATTTATGTTCTGGCCTTTCAAAGGGATTAGACTTTTGTTTGTATAGAGTTAAGAAACACCACATGAACCAAAGACCTATAACATCATTATGAATTTATGATTGTCAATACACTCAATATATTCTTTTGAATGAAAGAGAACAATTATATACATGTCAAATCAATCAGCCATAACTTAAATATCTCAAAGAATAACAATAATCAACATTAAAAATTAAAACACAAATACAATATAAGAATAACTATTTCAAAGCTGCCCACACAAGATATAGACAGCAGATTAGGTAAACCCAAAACTTACTAACAAAATCCTCTTCTTTTGAAGTAGGTATTATGATTTTAACCCCCATCTCCTCTTCTATCATTTTCTGTGTGGATCCCCTGAAACAGTATTTAGTATAGTAAGAACTAAGAAGTATATAATCTAATTTACATATCATAAGCACAATTTTCTACCCTTTCCCCCCAATAATAACAATAGCAACAAGACTTATGTAATTGTATCCCACATGGTGTTGGCAACATGTATCTCAAGTCAACTCAACTATATACTATTCCTAACGTGCATAATTTTCCTTTTTAGACAATAATATCGAGCACAGATTTATCTCTTGTCCTTTTACAACTATAAAAAGGTTATTTTTCTTTATCACTTTCACCCATGTCTGATAGACCTATTAAAAATGTGTATAGTGGGAAGAAAAGGAGGCTCTAAATGGGAATATTTTGATACTGTTATAATAATAGGATTGGAAGGAAGGTTGTATATAAATAATGATAAAAGGAGTTGGTGAGGAGTACCAGGGGATTTTAGAAAATAGAAGCAAGATTTATACAATATCAAGAGGACAGGATTCTTACATAATCCTGAGAGGCTTATACATTCTAGGATTGTAATTCTTTCTCCTTCACATTGGGGATCCTGTTCTTGTAATAAAAAGTTTACACTTTCAGGAGGGTCTAAGGGGGAATACTCTATAATAAGAGAAGGTTTATATAAATAAAGGTAAAGAGAGTCAGTGAGGGGTATCAGGGAATTCAGAAAATAGAGGCAAGATTTATACAATCCTGAGAGGGCAGGATTCTTACATAATCATGAGAGGTTTATACATGCTAGAATTGTAATTCTCTGTCTTTCACATTGGAGGAGCTTGTTCTTGCAATAGAAGTCTACACTTTGAGATTCTTTCCCTGCTTGTTAGACCTCCTATTAGAAATGTGTATAATAGGAAGAAAAGGATGGTCTAACTGTCTAAGGGGAATATTCTGTTATAACAGATATGGAGTGAAGGTTGTATGAAGGTAGTGGGAGACTGAGAGTCAGTGAGGGTGTTAGAGCTCCGAAGAGGACTGAGAGAGAAAGGGAATTATTCGTCCCTGGAATTTTATTGATTGTAAGGAAAATGAGTACACAAAGGAGACTACTCCTTTCACACTGGAATCTGTCCAGTTAAGAAACTAAACCAAAAATGAATATCCCCTCCCCCAGCCTAAACAGGGGCTATTTAAAGAGGATCTAAACTAACTAAATGTTACTGAAAACCTAACTAATAAATCAAAGGATAAAATAAGTTTAATTCTTATTTGTACCCTTCTTCCTATAATACACTTTTAACTTCCTATTTGTATCTTGTTGTTCCTGTTGCCTAACAATACCTCCCCTCTCTAAAACAACCTTGTCCTCAAGGTGGAAATCTGGAAACTGCGTCTGAATGGTGGCTACATCTTCCCATGTCGCGTCTTCAGGCGTTCTTCCTTGCCAGCAAATGAGAACTTGAGGTATTTGAGTCCCATTGTGGGTGATTACTCTGGTACCCCTCACCTCATTAGGATGACAGGACTCCGGTGGAACTTGTAACTCTGCTGGTAAGGTTGCTTCCACCGTGTGGTTCCCAACAGCCTTCTTAAGTTGAGAGACATGAAACACCGGATGTATTCAAGCATCTGTTGGCAGCTGTAATTGATATGCCACCACGCCAATTTTTTTTTGTATTTGGTATGGACCATAATACCTAGCTGACAATTTGGGGTGTAATTTGCGAGGCATGGATGTTTGGCCATGTGGTCTGATCTTTAAATAGACATAATCTCCGACTTGGAACTCCACCGATTTCCTATGTACATTAGCATATTGCGTCATCTGATCCTGAGCTCGTGTTAAATGAAATTTCAGTTGTGTCAGAGCTTCATCCCTGTCTTTGAGGTCTTGTGCCACCGCCTCGACAAGTGTTTCTCCTGGAATAAATCGTACCAAGGAAGGAGGGGATCTACCGTAAACAACTTCAAAAGGCGAACAATGTGCAGATGCATGAAAGCTTGTATTATACCAATATTCTGCCCACGGAATAAACTCTGCCCACACCTTCGGTTGTTCGGAACTAAAACACCTTAGATAAGTCTCAAGTGTTCTATTTAAAACCTCTGTTTGGCCATCAGTTTCCGGATGGTATGTTGTTGACATTTTTAGGTGGGTACCTTGTCGTGTGAATAATTCTTGCCAAAAATGGCTCATAAAAATAGGGTCCCTATCACTAATAATCGAAATAGGAATCCCATGTAATCGAATAATCTCTTTCACAAACAGGTCAGCAATGGATTTAGCAGAGTAAGGGTGTTTGATCAATATAAAATGCCCATACTTACTTAATCGATCCACCACCACCATGATAGCATCAAACCCTTTTGAACGAGGTAGGCCCACTATGAAATCCATGCTGATTTCTTCCCAGATAGCATTAGGAATGGGTAGTGGTTGCAATAAACCTGCTGGAGAAGAAGCTAGATACTTGTTGCGTTGACACACAGGACATGCTACAACATATTGTGTTATGGTGTTCTTCATGCCAAGCCAATAAAGGGATTGAGCCACTCGTCGATATGTTCTATAAATTCCGGAGTGTCCTCCTGTAGGAGTAACGTGAAATTCATGTAATAATTTGGGGATCCATGCGGATGTAGCCGATAACACTAACCTACCCTTGTAGTGCAGTCTATCATTTTCCAAGGTGTAGTGTTTATAAGAATTTGAGTCGTGTAGCAACGCTGTTTTTATTTTTGCTAATTCTGGATCGCTGTGAACCTCCTCATCAATTTCCACTATATCTTGCCAAAAAGGTTTAGAAATCCCCTGTAATTCCTTTTCCTCCTCCAGTCTAGATAACGCATCAGCAACTTTGTTTGAAGCTCCCACTTTATAAACAATGTCAAAATCATACCCGAGCAACTTGGCTAACCAATTTTGTTGGTTTTGAGTCGTAATCCGTTGTTCCAATAGGTATCGCAAGCTCCTTTGATCAGTGAAAACCGTGAATTTCCTTCCTAAAAGATACGGCCGCCAATGCTGAATTGCTAACACCAGGGCCATTAATTCCTTCTCATATATGGATTTCGTGAGGTTGGAATCAGCGAACCCTTTGCTGAAAAAGGCAATGGGTTTTTTCTCTTGAGTTAATACTGCCCCGACGCCCTTCCCTGATGCATCGCACTCAATTTCGAAGTGTTTCGAGAAATCTGGCATTGCTAAAACAGGTGCTTCAGTAACAGCTCTCTGTAATTGTTTGAATGCTACAATACTTTGCTCAACCCAATCAAAATTTCCCTTCTTTAATAATTCTGTCAAAGGCCTAGCAATCTTGCCATAGTCACGAATGAAGCGTCGATAATAGCCTGTAAGACCCAAAAAACCTCTGAGAGCTTTGACAGATTTTGGAAGGGGCCATTGTAATATGGAGTCAATCTTTTGAGGATCCATGGATACCCCGTCCTTGGCAATAATGTGACCCAGGTATGCCACCTTTGTTTGGCCAAAGCTGCATTTGTTTTTATTAGCAAACAAACATTGTTCCTGCAGCTTGGTTAAAACCTCTCTCAAGTGTTGTAAATGTTCTTCCCAGGTGCTACTATAAATCAAAATGTCGTCAAAAAATACTAAAACGAACCTACGAAGAAAAGGTTTTAAAGTGGAGTTCATGACCTTTTGAAAGGTAGCTGGTGCATTGGTCAAGCCAAAGGGCATGACCAAGGATTCATAGTGTCCTTGATGAGTGCGGAATGCTGTCTTTGGAATGTCAGGTTCATGCATTCGAATTTGGTGATATCCCGCGCGCAAATCGATTTTTGAAAAATAGGTAGCTCCCTTGAGTTCATCCAGCAATTCTTCAATCATAGGAATAAGGAATTTGTCTGGGATTGTGGCTTTATTCAGAGCGCGATAATCCACACAAAATCTCCAGCTTCCATCCTTCTTTTTTACCAAAATAACGGGGCTCGAGTATGGGCTGTTACTTGGCCTGATCAACCCGACAGTCAACATTTCATCCACCTGTTTTTCTATTTCGTTCTTCTGCAGGTAAGGATATCTGTAAGGTCGCACATTGATCGGATCTACCCCCGCTTTAATGGAGATCTTATGGTCAGCATCTCTGTGTGGAGGTAGTGTTTGTGGTATTGAAAAAACTACATGAAATTCCCTCAAAATTTGCTGCAATTGTTCTTCTTGACTGATTGTGAGCTGGTGTGGTGTATCAAGGTGGTTTTCCCCTATCCAGAGTATGGCCATGGATTCCACAGAACGTTGGTGCAGTTTTCTCAAGGCTTTGGTGGTGATCATTTCTTTGGACAGACTTCGGTCCCCCTGGATTGTTATGTTGTTCCCTTCCCTTGGTGCATAAAATTCATTTGAAGGCTTCCCCAATTTACTTTAACCTCTCCCAGAGTCATCAACCAAGCCACCCCCAAAATAATGTCAACGCCTCCGAGTTCAAAGAGAAAAAATTCTCCTGTCATGGTGTATTCACCCAGTTTGATTTGCACATTGTTACAACTGCCCTGAGTTTGCTTGCGGTTTCCATCCCCTAGCCTTACAATAGATGGTGTTGTTTGATCCACTTTAAGGCCTAACCGTTCCACTAACTTGTGCGATATAAAGTTGTGGCTGGCACCACTGTCAATTAACACCAAAATACTTTGATCCAGTAGTTGGCCGTTGAGTTTCATCGTCTGTGGGGTAGTGAGTCCTCCTGCTAAATGGGAAGTTACAATCTGAGTTGATGAGATTATCTTCTTCTGCACTTGGATTTTCTGATTCCCCATAGTCATCATCAGCCAATATAATGACTTGTAAATTCTTCTCTGGACAGCGGTGACCTGGAGCGAACGCTAGCCCGCAATGAAAGCATCTATTCTATTATCTTCTCGTCGCTTGATGTATTCTTGATAACGTAGGCTTCTCGTGCCACGATTTCGATTGAGACCTCCTGAATTCATTCCTATCGAGGTGTTATTGGGACAGGTGCCTCCTTGGGATCCCCGGTTGTTATTGTTGGTCCCTGTGATGTTGTTGGGGGTTTCTATCCGAGAAACGGGGAAACATCACCTCAATTTGACCCTGCAGGAACCTTATATATCCAATGGCTTCTAACAACACAGAAGCTGTGTCAGTCTGCAAAAGTCACAAAATGAAGGGTCATCTTTCTCTTTTCTTTAATGTTAAAAGTGAAGTTCCAATCAATGGCAAAAGATAAAGAGAAGTTGGATCATGGAAGGATTGAAAAGAACTATTCATGGTGGACTTTTAAAACCAAAAACAAAAGCTAGCTAGCTCTTAATTGTAATTAATGGCTTATGGTTTTGTATGGTTTATTATTACCTTTCCAAACGGAGATTATATGTAGTTTGGTTTATTATTACCTTTCCAAACGGAGAAACTAGCTGGTGAAGTGCTGTTATTCTATCTCCTAGCTTCTCCTTCCGCACCTGATTCAAATTCATACATGGAAATCATTACATGAATTATTCTTGTATGTGTGTTTTTCTCTCTTCCAACAAGTATTTGCCAGCAGAAAGAATATTAGTCTCAAACAAAGACAATCAAGAAAGACAACACACAACAAAACGCACACATGTATACAAGCTCACTCACCAAGTGAGAGAGTTATATAAGAAAAAAAAAAGAGGGAGTGAGTCACCTTGAGAGGTGCTTGGCTTGAAGATGGCTGAACCCTAGCCTTCTTCCAAACTGCAACTGTGGCTGTGCTATTACACTAGAGCAGAAGAAAATCAATTTGAATAACATGTCATACTATATATGCAAGTTTGGATGAGAAGATAAGAGATAAATCAGTTAATAAGAATCTCTAGCTCTTTTTTCTTACCTCAGATATTTGGTCTTGTAGTAGATTGTTCCTATGATCTGACTTGTTATAAGTGAAATCCAATATATTATTACTACTCAAGCTAGTGACACAAGACCCCGGAGAAGAAACTGGCACCATGTGTGACCAAGATGAGCCAGCTGGTCCAGAAGCCTGAAACTCCTCAAGTCCATGGTCGTACAAATTGCCCCTTTGAGAAACTTCTTGCTTTATTACATCAAGAATAGGAACTCTAGAAGCAGTATTAAGAAACTGAACATCCCAGTTTTTCGGCTGAAAATGACTGAAACCAAGTTTCTCTTCTTCTCCCGGTAATCCAGTACTGCAAAACAAACACAATTCCCAAAATGCATACTAGACACAAGTAATAACTATGGTCATAGGTAGAACATATTAAATGAACTAGCTAGAAAGAAGAGAGAGAGAGAGAGAGAGAGAATTTACTTACGAAAGCAGTTGGCTCCATGACTGAGGAGGCTCAGGATTTTCAGTCAAAGAATTAAAAGGAATTGAAGAAGGAGGAAGCACGTATTGGGGTGGGATCAAAGGTGGTGGATGCATGCTCCACCAGTTAGGGTTGCCAGCCATCATTTTCTGCACTGGAAGAGTTTCATGTGGAAAATATTTCAAGTCAAAATAATTAATTAACCTGTAAGAAATGAAAATTTCAATCTCCTTTTTCCTTCTACTTTTCCACTTTCAATTCACCTTTGTGATATTTCCTTGTATGCACACCCAAACAAGGCTTGGCTAAAGGTTTGAGAGTTCTGTTTTGCTTTCTTATACTAGCTGTTGAAGAAACTTAAAGCTTTGGGGTCTCACAGTATTTTATAGAGATGGGGTTGAGGAACTTTGCTTATGTTGCTTTCTCTTTCCTATCTATTCAGTTTTCCTTTTTATTCCTACTTTTGCTTTATTATAAAGTAGAACACAAAAGCTGGTGGCCAGTGTGTTGAGGTTAATACTACTCTCTACTCAGCTCTTAGTTCCTTAATTAGCTAGGGGTTGCACTTGCACCTTGGGATTGATTGGAGGGGTATCGGGAAACTTTAGAAAACAGAGGCAAAATTTATACAATCTTGAGAGGACAGGATTCTAGCGTAATCCAGAGAGGCTTCTACATTCTATGATTATAATTCTTTCTCCTTCACATCTGAGGAATCTGTTCTTGCAATAAAAGTCTACATTTTCAGATTGTTTCCCTGACTGAGCCTCTCCTTATCTGAAACTTATCTACTTCAAGTTGGCTAAGCAAATTTGTTAATAATATCAAACAGAAACTAAAAACTAGTTTTTACCCTTTTCCTTTAACAAAACGAAATAGAGAAGCACCAACCTGCACAAAAAAAAGTTAAAACAGAGATGAAAAGGCTGAAGCTTATGACTGTTCAATTCATAATCAGAAAAGAGAACCAAATGAAAGTATAATTCTTTCTTAAAACAAGAAGAACTAGAGACCAAAATCAAGGAGGCAGAAAGATAGTACAATCATTTTTAAGAAAAGCAACAAGTGATAACATTACTTTCCATTGTAAATTAGTGACGAAAAAAATGAGAAGATCGAACAATAAACAATAAAAACTATGCTCAGTAAAAGAAAAGGAGAAAACACATCAGCAACATAGCCTTTCGTGTAAGTCTTTTTATGAAATCCTTTCATATTTTGATGAAGTCCTGACATCCGATAGCTGATAACTAACTGATTAATTCTAGCACTCTGCTAACCTAATGTAGATTGAACAGCTAAACACTACATGAAACCTTAACATAATAAAAAAGGACCAACTAAAAGATATATTGTGATTTCTAGCATGTAACAGATGAAATAAACAAATATCGGTTGGTATCTTTGTATAAACTACCTATTCAAAGAAAAAGGAAAAAGAAGAAAAATTATAAGCTTGCCTGCATAGAAACTGAATGCTTTTCAGGGGAGACAGATGAATCTCCTTCTAACACTCTGTTTTCAACATTCTCCTGCAACTGGCTTGCACTAGTAGCTGATTTAGCAATTTCATTCATAGTGTCAGCAGCTACCTTCATGAGATAGTCATTTGAAATAGTGCTACAGCCCGTTTCTTGAACTTTGCCTCCATCCTCTGATTCAAGAATTGCATCCTTAGTCAAGCTTTCTGCCAAACCACATCATTTAATATAAAGAAACCCTCTCTGCAGTCTCTCCTAAGAAGTAACAAATATCATGCTTTTGGAAAATTACACCACCCCATGGCATCAAGTGCTTGTTAAGTACCTTTATATAGCAGGAAATATATAAAATACCAAAATACTCATTTTGATCTAGGAACGTGTAGGAGCTACACCATATATAGATCAGATAAAAGTAATTAGTTCATCTATTGTATTACATTTTCGAAAAAGAAACCAGAAAATCATAAGCGTAATGCAAAGTCGTTGGTACCATCGGGAGTTAAATACCGCAATGTCCAGAGGAAAAAAAAAAAAAAAGAAGCCAAACCTTCACAAGAACTGGCATTAGTGGCAACTGGTCTCCAGATAAAATTCGTATTTTTCTGTTTCTTGCTATGGTCGTCGAGACATATTTTCTTCTTTCTACCACTCATTATAAAATTGTAGCTTAAAGAATGATAAGCGCTCTGCCCCTGTTGCAAAAGTGATATTACCTGAAGCTGAGACATCATCTTGTTGCAGCACAGTATTGCATGTAAAAGTAGACGCAACGCATGTTAAACAATATTTTTTGTGTGTGTAAAAGTGAGTGCCAGCAAAATTCGCTCCTGGTGACCCAATCCCTATCACTAGTTATATTCCATATTTTCAATTAGCAATGTTACTACAATTTCACTATAAACACATGCTAAAGAAAAAGGACGAAATTAAAAACAGTGATTATTACAAAAAGATTAAATTAAAAAAAGTGAAAAATAAATAAATAAATCACGGTAGTGGAAGCCAGGAACCTGAAAGTAATAACGTGTAGACCTTGATGCAACATATGAATTGGTAAACTTGAGAACTCGGTCCACTCTGCAAATGCAAGGAAAGTAAGCAATAGAATGGAATCAAAACATTAATTGAAGTTTGTACTCTCAAAAACAAAACACAGTTTTGAAATTGCAGACCCTAAGATAGATATTGAGATATAAAATTTGTATTTATTTTGTGAGGAAATTGAATAGTTTGTTCGACGAACCTGATGAGAGACCTGCAACCTATCATTCCCGACGAATCAATAACAATGACTCTAGTCTAGTGTAGACTGTACTGTGTGGGTAAGGCCTGTTTGGTAAGTTCGATTCTTTTTTTCTTTTTAGGAAAAAGATTTCGGGTGAAGTGATGGAGTTTGGTTGCCATCATCCAAACACGGTGCTATGATTAGCCGCTAACGTGCGCAAGTGGGCGTAGAACGAAGTTTCCACTCGGCGTGGGTGAGTCAGCAAATGACGTGGCACCTCCTCGCTGAATTTTCGGTTTTGGTGGCAAAAAGGCCCTTCCTCTCTCTGTCTCTTTCATCAATTTCGTTCATCGCTCTCTCTCTCAGAATCTCAGTTCCATTCCAAATCTCAAACTCCAAGCATTCAAATTAGAGAATAGCGTTATACAAATTCCACGGGTTCTTTCGGATAGAGCGGAGTTGAGAATTGTAATAATAATAATAATATTAATATAAATAAATAAATATTGTAAAAGAGAATGGAATCGAGTCGAAG